CTTCGGCTGCTGCGACCATCGCCGGGACCGCGCCTTGCTGCAGCGCTTCTACCGCCTCAGCGCTCGGCTCGACGGTCCCACCTACGACACCTGCGCCGGTCACCTGCAGGACTTGCTCTGCCAGGTGAGGCTTCCCGGGGCCCCCGAGCTCCTGCTGCATAGAGGGGCTGCTGCTGCAAAGGGGCTGCAGCCACACTGGGGACTTCAGGAGTCTTCTGCTGTGCAGAGGACATCACCAGCTGCACACAGGTGTTCTTCTATTCTATTCTATTCTATTCTATTCTATTCTATTCTATTCTATTCTATTCTATTCTATTCTATTCTATTCTATTCTATTCTATTCTATTCTATTCTATTCTATTCTATTCTATTCTATTCTATTCTATTCTATTCTATTCTATTCTATTCTATTCTATTCTATTCTATTCTATTCTATTCTATTCTATTCTATTCTATTCTATTCTATGATTCTGCCCCACGGGTGTGTGCCCCATGCTTTGGCCCAGGTGTGTGTGCATCCCCCTGTGCAGGGCTGCATCAAGCGCAGGTATGGATGCTTTGGCCCAGACGTGAGTGTGTTGATCCCAGGGGGATGCACTGGTCCAGGCACAGGGGCTTTGGGTTATCCAGGGGAGTGTAAGCCATGACATTAGTTCCCAAGGCCAGACAGCAGTACAGGTGCATCAGCCATGGCATTAGTGCCTGAGCCCAGGCACAGGAGCATCAACCCATGTATGTTTGCATCAGGGATAGTGCATCAGCCTAGGTGTGTGGTCTCAGGCACTGGCAGGAGTAAATGTACACAATCAAGTGTCCCAGGGGACTTCTTGTCCTTTGGCAGGTGTCTGAAAGGAACAGGGATGTTGCTCTGCTTTAATTTATGAGCAGCAGTGCTCTGAGATGGGTATGTGGGCAGTTACAGTTTGCAAACTCCACTCATCCTTCTAGGGTTAGATCACTGGACCTGATGAAAACACCCACAGGGGACCTGCCTGCATAGATCATGCTCCTTGTTATGCCCAATTAGTGGGATCAGGTGGGGAGGTTTGTACTGTGCTACAGCACCCTGAGATGCTTATAGCATGTGCCAGGTGCTAACAGTCCTGATGATGGGTGCAGGGTAATTCCTGAGGATGTGGCCTAGAAACCTCTGTGGTGGCCATCCTGCACAGGGGGGAATTTCCACTCAGGGTTGATGTTCTGTGGCTGGATATGATAACAGGATGATCTCAGTCTGCACAGAGCAAAGAGTCTAACCATATCATCAGTGGTGGCCTAGCATGTATGAAAATGCCCTGAGACAGAGTAGTGGCAGCTCTGTGCTGTGCAAGTGTGAATCTGAAATTAATTCAGACAGTGGAGTCTCGTCCACCGTGCTCAGATGGGATCAAACTGGCTTTGCAGAAATCCTGCTCTTAGCATTTTTCAGGGTACCTCTGGTGTTCCTGAAAGCGTGAAGAGAAAGACAACCCTTTCCCACATCAGCTTCTAGAGATTTGTATTCTATTTCATCTCACACTGTACTGGAAGCAAAAAAACCCTTTGAATATATTCCCAAAACAAGCAGTGTCCAAAAGTCTATTTGTAGATAGGAAACCAGTGAGCAGTGCCTGCTAAGCACTCCTGCCTCTGGAAGCAATAACCTGGTCTTCTGTGCACATCAGAAAGATGACCAATTTACTCAGAAACAGAAATATTTCAGTGTGGAAGAAATGATTCACTGAAATGTTCTGATGAGCTCAGTGCATCACCAGCCCAGATGTGGCTACAAACCACCACCTCTAGTTGCACAAGCATGGAATGTTTGCAGGCATTGCAAACACTCTAGAACACTCTGCTCCCATTCATTCATTGTGTGTACAATTTATAGACCTGAATTACTAAGTGGGTCTCTGCACACTTCTGTATTTTTCTGCTCATGATTTGTGATTCCTCTCAAGTGTGATCAAATTATTTTGACAAGTGTCTCAGCTTGTTCTTGTGGTGAGGATTCCTGCCTCCTCTCAAATTCATAGAATAATAGAAGAGTTTGATTTGGAAGGGATCTAGTACAATCCCCACCCCTCCACTCCTTGCAATGAGCAGGGACAGCTTCAACAAGATCAGGATGCTCAGAGCCCCATCCAACCAGGCCTTGAATGTTTCCAGGTATGAGGCATCCATCACCTCTCTGGGAAACCTGTGCCAGTGTTTCACCACCCTTATTGTAAACAACTTCAGTCTTTAATCTAAATCGACCCTCCTCCAGTTTGAATCCATTCCCCCTCATCCTGTCACCCCATGCCCTCGTAAAAGGTCCCTCTCCAGCTCTCTTGTAGACCTTTTAGGTACTGGAAGGTGCTATAAGGTTACCCTGGAGCCTTCTATTCTCCACCAAAGTGCAAGAGAGTAGATGCCTCATTATGCTTCTTGGGAACAGCTTGCTTAAAGGCTTAAGCTTCCAAATGAAGGTGAACAAGGAATGTCAGGGATAATGTGAAAGTTAAGTGCTTTCCTGAGGAGTAATGTTGCTTCCTCCAGGCTGATAGCAGATGTAAATAAGCCATTGTTTGATGTGGGTGTTCCTCCAGATTCAGACTGTTGTAATTCCTCAGATAAGTAGCTGCCACTGAATTCCTGGAACAGATAGGATGAATTTGGCTAGCTTGTCTTAATGTGACTTGTTTTGTTTTCTGATGAGTTATTTTCGTAGTGGGAACTTGTTCCAGCCCTACTGAAGTTATTGATCATCTGCCAATTAGTTTCCTTGGTCTTTGTACCACGTCATAGTTTGCAATGAATGTCATTTGGAAATGAGGATTTAGACCTATTATTGATGCTGGGCTGTGGCTTTCTTGATATTTTAAGTGAACATGACAGGAAGATGTGAAGGGTGAAGGACCACAGTATTTATTTCAGAAGCAGAGAAATTCAGGATCTGGCATTAGGCCCCATCCCCTGTGGAGTAAAAGCTGGAAAATATTCCACATGTGTCTGGAGAATACCCTAGGCACATGCTTGGGTACTGTCTGGCTAGTGATAGATCTCTGGATATCACTGCCAGAGTAATGCTGCTGTAATTAGCCATATGCCACCAGGAATGTGGCAAGGAGTGAAGAAGTTGCCCACAACTGCTATTCAAATACACCTGAGGCTGGAGTGAACAGCCTGCAGCAGCAAAGGGGCAGGGAAACCAAATCTCTGGGCTATTTTTAATTGCAATGTGGAAGCCAAGGCATTGTTTTATAATGCATAAGATCACTGCTTGCTTTGAAAGGCTTTCAGGGAATGAGGTACACACCGTACTCCAGAGAGGGCCCTCCCCTCTCTGAATGGGAAACCTCCAGAGACAGCAACACATTGAGATCCCACCCAGCCCTCTCATCAAATTCCCTCTCTGTCTCATTTCAATCTGCTTTCTAAGGCCAAATTTTCAGTCGTTACAACTGCATCAGCAAATGCTTTGTCTGCTTCTGTCCCTGGCACACCTCGTGTAACCGAGCCGTGTGTGTTACCCAATCTGCCTGTGTAATTTCAGTGTTTTGTGTCACATGCAATCTCCTTTTTACCACATTAATTGCTGCTCATTTGAAGGCATAATAACCTTCATTTTGCAATGAATGGCTTGACATTCCAGGAGGAAAGCTTATTGTGCACTAATGATCTGTTACATGGCCTCTCAGTTTATTATGGTATGTAATGGAAAATAAAATAAAAATTAAATATTGTGTGTACTTATCAGCTAATTTAAACAGTTCGGTGTCTTGGATGTTATATATTTTCAGCTATCAAATAGTGCTGGAATCTGCATTAAGAAATAGCTCCCTATAGATTTAGAAACAGCTCCCTGTATATTTATTTTTTTACTAAGCTGGTTTTGCTAAGACAAAAAAAAAAAAAAAAGAAGAAATGCCAACTAGGAAGTAAAAAACACAGAATTTATTCAAGTCGAATAGTTTCTCTTTCGACCTTTCTTGCCTCAGTTATTTATCTGCCCTGTGAAAATAACTGAGCCTCCACAGAGTCATGTTGCATTATTTGAAGAGCACTTTAGTGATGCTTGTTCAGAAGATGCATTATAGCTGGAAAATATTGTGTGTTTGTTACAAGGAAGAGCCCTTGAAAAGCAGAACTGAGTCATTTTGGTCAGTTTGTAATTTACAGACAGTTCTACTGGATTGCAGCTTTCTGCATAAGGAATATTTGCCTGAAGGAGTTCTCAGCATGGAGAATACAGTGAACTGTGTGAACTTGATCTTGTCCTTAGGTAGGTTTCTAGGACCTTGCCTGGATTGTGGCAACTTTTTCCTCACTGTCTGAAATCCTATAACTTGAGCATCCCTCCTAGAACTTGGTGACCCACATCATGATCATGAGATGCACTTCACCACTCCTGATTGGCTATATAAACTATCTGTAGGCAAAGATCCACCAGTAAAGGCAACAGAACCAAGCAAGGATGGTGTATGCAGGGATAGCATCCTTCTCCCCTCCTCCTACTCCTTCTCATCCCACTCCTTCCAAGCTGTGAATCACATCCATGTTTGAGGTGCAAGTCTGGATTATCACACGATGAGGTTTGAATGTCGCAGACTTTGGCCCTGATGGTCTTTCCCATTCCTTCATCTGTCTGGAAATGCAGGACCTGAATCTTCTCAGCTAACAATTTGGTTTCACTTCTGTGCTGTGATGAATCTGCTTGTTATTTCATAGATGAAGTCAGAGCATCCAAGAAAGAGAAGTCTCTTTTTCCCAGTAGTCTATTAGGGTGATACACATCATTGCTGGTTTTCTTGAGTTAGTGCTGTGGTTGGAATAAATGAGTAACAGCATGAGGAAGTCAGCTTTCACCAGGAATATTGAAGATCATTTCCATGGATGCTGAGATAAAACTCCCTTTCTCAGATCCTTTCCTCTGTTAATATATCTCCAGAATAAACCGCAACATAACTTGTAATTAAAGAGAAATATCTCTAATTAGTATCACTGCTCAGCTGTTTCAAATCTGCTCCAAGAAATGACTTGAGGCTTTTTTTCTCTCTCTCTAGGAATGCTCTCCATATGCAGCTCACTTGTATGATGCTGAAGATCCCTCCACCCCCGTGAGGACGATACCAGGACTTTGCCAAGACTATTGCATGCAAGTGTGGCAAAACTGCCGCTCCATTTTTCGCCATCTCTCTGCAGACAGAGAGCTAATTGCACTGGAGAACAACATGGCAAAATTCTGCCATTACCTGGCCTTGGAGGACACTGACTACTGCTTTCCACACCTGCTGGCTAACCAGAACCTAAACCAAAACCTGGGGTTAGTCACTGCGGACTCAGAGGGCTGTCTCCAGCTCTGCCTCGTGGAGGTTGCCAATGGGCTGCGCAATCCCGTTGCGATGGTCCACGCCAACGATGGCACCCACAGGTTCTTCATTGCAGAGCAGGTTGGCCTGGTGTGGACCTACCTCCCTGATGGATCCAGGCTTGAAAAGCCATTTCTGAACATCAGCGAAGCTGTACTTACCTCACCTTGGGAGGGAGATGAGAGAGGGTTTCTAGGTATTGTCTTCCATCCTAAATTCAAATTTAACGGTAAAGTGTATGTCTACTATTCAGTTGAAGTCCGTTACGAAGAGAGAATCCGAATCAGTGAGTTCAGAATTTCTCCTGCTGACATGAATGTCCTGGACCATGGTTCTGAAAGGTATTGTACACACGTTTCTCTGGCAAATGATTCAAGATCTTAGAGGGCAGTTTGTGCATTTTAAAAAGCTATTAATGAAGGAGACTTGTTTAGCTTAGTATTGTTCTTGCATTCCAGTGTGTTAGCACGTTAGTCCAAGCCCATGGCTACCGTATTGAAGGAGAGAATCATAGAATCATAGAATTTAGGGGTTGGAATGGACCTTACAGATCATCTAGTCCCAACCCCCTGCCCTGGACAGGGACACCTCCTCACTAGACCAGTTTGCTCAAGGCTCATCCAGCCTGGCCTTGAACACTGCCAGGGTTGGGGCAGCCCCACCACATCCCTGGGCAACCCATGCCAGTGTCTCACCACCCTTAGAGTAAAAAACATTTGCTCACATCTAACCTAGACTTAACCTCCTTCAGTTTAAACCCACTAACCCTTGTCCTGTCATTGCAGTTCCTAACATGAATGTGTCCTCTGTGGATGAACTAACTGCAAGTGTTCAGGGATAAAACATTTACAGTTCTCAGTTCTGGTATGTCCGAAGATTCAGCTGAACATGGACTAGGCAATATTTCCAGTTACTATTTTGTTTTTTTGGTTGGTTGGGCTTGCTGGGGAATTTTGGTGGGGTTATTATGGTATTATAATGATTACTCTATAAAACAAACTTCTGCAAACATGAGTGAAATTCATTCTGAAGCTAAAGGTTTCCAAAAATGAGTATAAACAAACTCAATGATAACAGAGCAAAGAAATGTTTAGTCCCATATTTCTTTATCTGATCAACATCTCAACCCTGTGATATTACAAATTTAATATCAAATTAAATAAAAATCAAGCCACTATGTGATTACTGAGTGCATTTTGATTGGAAATATCATTTCTTTCAGCCTGGTCCTGCAGTTGAGCCAGATTAAGATGCATAGATAATGAGAGGCTTGTTTGTGGAGTCAGTCTATAGATTTATAACCTGTTGCAGAACCACATCATAGAACCACTGGTTTAAGAGACCCTTGAATATCACTGATGCTAAGATTTTGGTTTCCTTATGTGGATTATATTTGGGGCTTTCCAAATAGTCAGCAGTGGGTGACTCTAGTCCAAAAATGCACACAGCCTAATGATTGAAAAGGGGCATTGGTTTATCAAGCAGTTACAGCAATTCAGTGTAAGCAGCACTGTAGATAACAGGTAAGAGGAATTACAATGTTGTCCTCAGGAAAGCAATTCAGGGGCTTAAACCTGGAGATTTCAGAGCACATAGGCTATCTAGTTAAAAAACCCTCAGGCTCTACATTTGTAACATTTTCTTTGCTTATTTAGCTTATGGTTAGTACAGTGAAAGCCTAAGAAAGCAAAATTGTGGTCCTGTTGTGCTTGTGTAGGCACAGGTCCCACTGACTTCATCCTGAGATGCTGCTCAAGAGGGAGCTTAGTCTGACACGTGGTGTGCATTGTCTCGGCACAAGGCGTGTGGCTGTTTATACGCAGATATTTGCTCCGTGTATTTTGGGGTTTTTTCCATCTTCTTTTGGAGCCTGAGGAGGATTCACCTTTGTGTCTCTACAGGATCTTCCCTCACTCCTTCTGCCATCTGGAGTCTGTGCACTCTTGCACAGTTACCTTATCTCAGAGGCTGTGACATTTAACAGGAGGTGACAATAACTCCTTCCCACAACTCACAATAACTGTCAGTATTTCAGAAGGGAAAAAAACTGGCAAAAAATGAAGTGGTATAAGGAGATACTAAAATTTGCTTTTGGAGCTATTAAGATGTACTGCCAGCATGAAATCTGGACCTTTTTTAGAAGCTGGAGTAAAATAAACTTCAGTTGTTATACCCAGGAACCTCCACTGCATCTATTTGTGGCTTTACCATTCTATGAAATTGCACTTTATGTATGTCACCCTTTCTTTACTATGAAAGGGATGCCAGGTGCATAAAATAAGCCATTAAAAGAGAGAATCTGTATTTAAAATTTGAGTTTGTTGCGACTGCTTTGAATAACATTTGTATAAATGTCAGTTTGTTGGTGGGGCAGTTTTATCTGCTCTCCAAACTCATAAGGTCCTGAGTGTGCAATTATCACTTAAGGATTTGTCTCTCTAGGAATTTCACTGTTGAAAAGTTCTATGTTTGCCATGAGAGTGCCTGTCAGGATTGTGCCAAATGCTGTACAGATGCAGAGATGGGCTGTAGTCCTTGCAGTTTACAATTGGACACAAGCTCAAATGCCTTCACTTAAAAAAAAATATGAAGAAAAAACAGTTTAACAAGGAGGAAGAAAGAATCAAAGGACAAGTATAAGTAATAAAAAGTATATTTTGTCATGTGATTTCCCAGATTTTCCATATTACTCAATTTGGTGTTTCTGTAATCTGGAAAGTATGTTGGAACTATTTAAGCTTAGAAAATCAGCTATGCCCAAGCAAAATTCAGTAATGTGGATACAGAGGAATTTGTATCAGAACCAATCTGGAGACATTTCCATCTGTCAAGGGCAACACTGGAATGATGTTGCTCTGCCCTTTGCTTAGGGCTTTGCACTAGGTAATTGCCTTCTCCCTGTTTTGCTTAGGATAATCCTGGAAATAGAAGAACCTGCTTCCAACCATAACGGAGGAGAGCTGCTCTTTGGATTTGATGAGTATCTCTATATATTTACTGGAGATGGAGGCATGGCTGGGGATCCTTTTGGGACCTTTGGAAACGCCCAGAACAAGTAAGAGTGGATCCATCCCTATGGCAGCTCCAGGCTACCAACATGTGTACTCTGTGCTGGTTTCACCTGGGATGGAGTTAATTTCTTCTCAGTAGCTGGTACAGTGTGGTGTTTGGATTCAGAGTGAGAATAATGTTGATAATGATGCCCCATGTTGGATGCCAAAAAGGACTGTTATGGTTTAACCCCAACCAGACACCAAACCCCACACAGACACTCGTTTACTCCCCACAGGCAGGATGGGGAAGAGAACTGGAAGGATAACAGCTGGAAAACACATAAAGACAACTTAATAGGTAAAGCAAAGGCCTTGTACACATGCAAAGCAAGATGAGGAATTCACTCACTGCTTCCCATGGGCAGGAGGTGTTCAGCACCTCCAGGAGAGCAGGGCCCCATTATGTGTAACGGTTACTTGAGAAGACAAACACCATCACTCCGAACATCCTCTCTTCCTCCTTCTTCCTCCCATTTTATATACTGAGCATGTTGTTCTATGTTATGGAACATCCCTTTGATCAGTTTAGGTCACCTGTCCTGGCTGTGTCTTCTCCCAATCTTTCATTCATCCCCAGCTTCCTCGCTTGCATGACAGTACGGGAAGAAGTAAAGACCCTGGCTCTGTGTGAGCTCTGCTCAGCAGTAAGAAAATCATCTCTGTATTACCAACCCTGTGTTCAACACAAATCCAAAACACAGCCCCATACTAGCCACTGTGAAGAGACTCCACCCCAGCCAAAACCAGCACAGTCCACAGAGCTGCAGGGTGTAGGAAGTCAGTGCCAGACACTCGAAGGCTGTTGGGAGGCAAATGAAACCATCTTGAAGTGGTTGGTTTTCAGAGATATTCAAAGACTTGTCCTTTCCAAAACAGACAGAATGAAACCCAGAGTATCCCCTCCCCCCCATTTCTGATGTTTAACCAAGTTTTATTTCTTTATCTTTTTCCTCTTTCCTTTCTCCTCCCAATACAGATCAGCCCTGCTGGGCAAAGTGCTGCGGATCGATGTGAACAACAACGACCGTGGGCCCCTGTACCGAATCCCTCCTGACAACCCTTTTGTCAACGACCCTACAGCTCGCCCTGAAGTCTATGCTTATGGAGTGAGAAATATGTGGCGCTGCTCCTTTGATAGGGGGGAACCTCACACCAAGGAAGGGAAAGGGAGGCTCTTCTGCGGAGATGTGGGGCAGAATAAATATGAAGAAATCGACATCGTCGAGAAAGGCAAAAATTACGGCTGGAGGGCGAGAGAAGGGTTCAGCTGTTACGATAAAAAGCTTTGCACCAATTCTTCCATGGGTAAATAGAAGTGCTCTCTAAACTACCTGCATCTTCCACTGTGCAGTTTTCTGCACCATCATTTTTAATTCCTGCCTTCAATCCCTGACTGCTTGGTGGTAAATGTATCTTTTGGAGCTGTAAACTCTGGCTGTTTGGTGGTAAATGCATCTTTTGGAGATGTAAATCTATACTGCCTCAGCCAGAAAAGGGAACTGATTTGGGAATAAATATTGAAAGTCCAAAAGTTACTGGATTTGAGTTAGGAGGAAAGTGAAGCATGCTAACTGTTGTTGTTCTAGGCGATCTGTGTTGTTAGTCAAATTGCTTGGGGATTCTGTGATTTAGGGGGAGAGTAGCATCTTTTCCACAGAAAATAAGCTTTCCTGCAGGAGCATGAAAAATTTGGAGCAATAACTTACAAGTACTGTCCTTATTTTAAAAATCAAGGAAGAAACATATTGTGTAAGCTGCTCAACCCATCTGCACATTGCCTGCTTTGCAGGTAACTGAAAGTACAATGTATTTTTGTTTCTTTTAGCTGTGCCAAAAAGGAAAACCTAATTTTATTTTTTTTTTTTAAACTTTTCAAACCTGGACACTCAAGGTATTTTCTGGCTGGCTAAATTCCAGCACACATGTGAAGTCAGAGTGCATTGTGTTGCAAGGTATGATGTGAAGCACATCTTGCACTGGAGCATCTCCCCAGAGATCCAGGGGGCAGTGAGCTGGCACTGATTCGCATTAGCTGAGATTCTGATTTTTTTCCTCTTCTACATCCTATGTGTTGTTGTTTAACTTTCTTCTTTTTATTAACTCAGTTTAAATCCCTTCCTTTTCTTAACTTTGCCACAAGTACAATGGTAGTGATTAAGTATTTCTATCAAAATTTCAAGAGCAGGGAGCAGATTTTTTGCACTCCCTTTGCCGAAGCAGTTGTCAGAGACCTCGTTTAGTGCTCTCCTGTGTGACAGTACCCACATAAGCATTCATGGTAGGCATTTTACTGAGGTCTCCAGGGACTCAGAACAATTTTTGATGTCTTTAGAGACCCTTCTGTTAGAACAGTGAAATGTCACAGCCCCTTTAGAATGATAAGTACAGTTGAAGTGTCAAAAACACCTGCTTTAGATGAAATGCCCCTGGTGCAAGTTCCTTCCTGGCAGAGCTGTCAGATTTGTTACTTGAGGCATCTGGTACATGGGCAGGGAGAAAGGTTGTGATGAGGAGGAAGGGTGGGTGCCATGAGGGACCTATGACCCAGGAGTTTCAAAAGAAAGGGTAGGAAGTATTGAATGGAGAATCTCAAAATCAGTGCATCTCCCTCTGTTTTACATCTGTCTTATGTTTTAACTTGCATTTTATAATGAATATGCCAGTACTTCATCTTGCCTGTGCCAGACCATAAATATTTGATGACCCTTTCAGTTTAGCTCCCCCATCTCAGAGGAACAGAAGCTATTTGCACTGACATCTGACATATCTCTTCATCAGTGCCTGCAGTCTGGAGTTAACCATCTCTTTTTTTTTTTTCCATTTCACCACTGAAACAAAGCTGCATTGGGCAAACATCTCCTGCATGGGTGCAGTGACTCTAAGAGTAACCTGAAAATTTGCAGCTAAACCAGCCAGGCCCTGTAGAAATGAGCCATAAGTGGCACTAACAGAGCTGGGTTGTAGTGGGAGGAGAAGGGCTCAGGAGAGCAGTGAGGTATCTGGGTGATAGGCAGGGCTATCAAATGTGCTTCTGAACAGGTGAAAATCAAACTAAATACAACTCTAGCAGCACTCCATTTCATTAGAATCTGTTCCAGTGAAACTAATTGTGCTCTGCTAGTCTCAGAATGATCTGGATAAACAGCTATTCTGCAGCATGTGTAAAGCAAGTCACAAATCTTTTCTGCCCTGCAGATGACGTGCTTCCAATTTATGCATATCCACACAAGATGGGGAAATCTGTTACGGGAGGTTATGTCTATCGGGGCTGTGAGTCTCCAAACCTGAACGGCCTGTACATATTTGGTGATTTTATGAGTGGGTAAGTAAACACTTCAGAGACTCACTAAGCTCTACCCCCAACCAAAGTCCCCCTCCAAACAGCCAGATAGCACTTGAACACTCCCCTCTAGTTTTCCCATGTGCCTGGATTGCCCCTGAAAGACAAGGTGTTGCAGGATGTATAATACATTTGTTTTAATACTAACAATCCTTCATTTTTTCCAGAGAAACTGTAGTTTCTATTGCAGCTAATGTGGGTAGGAAGCATTAAACACCCTTTCAGGTGTCCAGATGGATGTTCATAAATCATCTTGGTTGGTTTGCAGAAGTGTTCCTTTGCCTTGCAGACGCCTGATGTCTTTGAAGGAGGATCGTGCTACTGGGGAGTGGCAGTACAGTGAAATCTGCATGGGGACAGGACAGACATGCATGTTCCCTGGGCTTATCAATAATTATTATCAATATATCATCTCATTCGCTGAAGATGAAGCAGGTAACCTTTTATGTCACACTGAATGGTGTGTTTGTGGTTCCTCTTCAAACTAAAACACCAGAGAGGAGGTCAGAGAGGGTTCCTGGGAGGCAGCAGGTGGTGGGGAGGCAGAGCCCAAGTCTGTCAGTCTTTAAAATGCCAGTGGGTGAGATTCCCAGCATCTCCCAAATATCAAACCAAAGTTGCAATGCTAATTTTGAGGTCTGTGTGGCTGCTGTGTGCAGTGGGAATTGGAAAGTCAGTTCCCTTGGGACTGAGTCTGGGTTCAATGGACATGTGCTGCCTGCACACCTACCCTCTACAGAGTAGAGACCAGTGAGGTGCAAGTAGAATAAAACACAGCTTACAAAAGAAACCTCATCTTCACAGTGCCATGCCATGGGGAATGGAGGCCCTGGGAGGCTGAGAAGCTGATACACAAGCGAGAGAAATTCTATGTTCTTGGCTAGTCAAGCTGTTGGCATTATTAATGGATACAGGGAAGCAGATACCATGAACAGTAATGATGTACCTGCTCACCCTGGCCTGGGATATTTGTACCTCTCAGGCTGAAGCAGAATAAAATCCCTATATTGTGTTTCAAGTGAGGCATTAGCAAAAGACTGCTTAAGTCCATATTTTATTAGTGTCAGCTGGGATTTTGCCTTGCACAGGACCGAAGGATAGTGTCTCAGTGGAGCTTAGCATAGCTGTGTTTTCAAGACTGAAGACATTTTGCTTTCTAGAAGGGACCTACTGCAATTTGAAAAGGAGGAAGTAAGGAATCCTGGTGTGAAATCTGATGGTTGCTCCCTTTGTTTGTACCAGGGTATTGCAGCCCCTGCAGCCCCTGGTTGGGGACAGGGAGAAGATGAGCCCCATAATGGTCAGGACCATTGCTAAGTAGCCTCATGTGTAATCAGAAATGCAGTAGTTGTGTTCTGTCCTGTTGCAGGGAAGTCCTGGTTTGTGGTCACAGGCACCTGCTCCCAAAATGTCCCAGCTTTTAAACATCTGGTTTTCCCAAAGGTTATGTCAGGTTTGGACGTTGCACAAATCATACAAATGGAAATTTTATAATGTAAATGGAAATCACCCAAATTAAGTATTATCTCAGAAGTTTGACTTTCTTCTTTTTTTTTTTTTTTTTTTGGAGTTAAATCCCATTTTCTCCAATGGTTAATGTTCATGGAAGCTAGAGCTATTTCACAGTGCTGTGGTGAGAAGGATATCTTACCCTAAAGTTGAATAACTTTGTCCAGACTCTGTTGACAGGTGCAGGATGAGGGAGATGCTCCCCATGTGCATGAGCAAGGGCTGCAATTAACACCTTGGTATTTGGCATAAAGGTTGATTTGAACTAAGTCCACATGTGTTTGCATAAGTACAATAGAACTAAGTGGAGATTTGGGCTGGAAGCTGTTCTCACAGGTAGTTGCCTTTTGTTTTCTCTATAGTAACAGAAAGAAATCTGTTAATAACAGTGCAGTAATGTTGCAGAGAACAGTCTTCTCTTGCACCTTTTTTTGTGTGCTGGGAATCTCATTTTTTTGTGAGTTTGTCACATAGTTTATTTTAACAAGGTTTCCATCACAGAAGCGTTTGATTGTTGCTCTGATGAATGTTAATCTGACTGGTGCAGGGGATGTATGTCTGCAGTGAGGACATCTATATTTATGGTTCATTGCACAGCCATTATAAAGGCAGCAGCCTCATCCCTGTGCAGCAGAACGTGTCAGGGACACCCCAGGCACTGTGCTATGTCTGTGGGGCACATGTGTGATAGCCTGTGTGCTTCATGGCCTGAGCATCCATATTTCTGCTTGATTTCTCTGCCTCATATTTCTGCAGGAGAGAGGGTGAGGATGTAAAGCACATGTCATGCACCCCAAGACACAGTGCCAGGTGTTTCTCACCCCTGTTTGGAGCAGAGCTGCCTCTGGTCTGCCATGCTCTGTTGCAGCAAGTCCAGAGGAGGCCACGAGGTTGATAAGAGGATTGCAGCATCTCCCCTATAAAGATAGGCTGAGGAAGTTGGGACTGTTCAGCCTGGAGAAGAGAAGATTGTGTGTAGACCTCAGAACAGCCTATCAGTACCTGAAGGGGCTCCAGGGAAGCTGCAGAGGGACTCAGTGTTAGGAGCTGCAGGGACAGGACAAGGGGCAATTGGTACAAATTGAAAGAGGAAAATTAGGCTAGATATTAGGCAGTTTTCCCTGTGAGGGTGGTGAGTCACTGGCCCAGGTTGCCCAGGGAGGCTGTGGCTGCCCCAACCCTGGCAGTGTTCACAGCCAGGTTGGATGAGCCTTGAGCAACCTGATCTGGTGGGAGGTGTCCCTGCCCAGGGCAGGGGGTTGGGGCTAGATGATACATGAGGTTGATTCCAATCCTAACATTCTATGATTCTATGATTAATGGAGTTCATCAGAAAAAGGAATAAACTAGCCAGGGGTGGCCAGAGGCATTTAGTTTCTGCCATGGGAATATCTGTAAGAGCTCAGCCCAGAGCAGCAGAGGAAAGCAGGAGAAGGAGCGTGGCTCAGCATCATCTGCCACCAGCTGCCTGCATCTTCCTTTGCTCAGTCTTGCCCCTCTGCTCCTTCCCCTTAGGGTATCCATAGGACACCCAAAGGAATCTGCCTTACCGACCAAGAAGGTCTCCATTGCCTCTTTTCATTTTCCTTTTTTTTAAAAAAAGATTGCAAATTTAATTCTTCTCTCCAATCCTTTTTTGTTACACTCCTCAAGCACCTGAGCTGGCAAAAGAGAAGAGTGCCAGAGGGACTGCTTACCCCAGCCACCCCTGAACAACAGGAGAAGGACAGAAATGCAGTTAAGAGAAAATAAGTCAAATAAATGGTGATGGACATTGTTTGGCTGAAGGTCAAGCCCTGTCTGTGTGACCTGTTAAAGTTGTGATAAACCAAATGCATTTTGTGAGATGCTTCTCACTTTGTGAGAGTATCTTGCAAAGTGCTAGAGATTTTTGTGCTAGAGATAGCAAAAGCAAAACCTTGTTCTCCTGTAATTCACCCCAGAGGAGCTTTTCATCCAAATGAGCAGAAGACATTGAACTTCCTTAATTGCCTTTCATTTCATTTCAACAAAGGTAATTCAGGGTTTGACTGTTTTGCATTAGAGAAGCTAAAAGACACATAGCAGAATGAGATGAACTGTAGAGTCTGGGCAGATGAACCTGCAGTGAAATTTGTCCAAATACTATTTCGTGACAATATGTAAAAGCTCCCACTTGATAAGAGTATTTTATGCCACTGGACTGCGGATAGACTCTCAGATGAACAGAGTGCATAAGAACACTACAGCTCCAAATTTAAACCTGCCTTGTTTCCTCCAATGACCAAATCTCTATGCTGGTCTGTGTTTCCTATGCTCTGTGACCTGTGATGCAGAGTGAATGCCTTTGTGCTGTACAGAACAGAAACTCCATGGAGAGTTTTCATGGCTGTGTCTGGTGGTTTTTTCCCAGGGGAATTGTACTTCATGTCTACTGGGGTACCGAGTGCCACAGCTCCCCATGGAGTGGTGTACAAAGTGGTGGACACCTCCAGGTATGAGACGTTCTTCTTGCAAAGCGTGATGTGGTGCAGTGAGTCCAGATGGTGATGTGACGAGTGATGTTGGCTGACTAACTAACCCTTCTCCCATGCTGGGTCCTTCTGTGGAGACTGCTCAAGGAATGTCTGGAGCAACCCATTGTGGGTCTGCTTTGCTCCTGCAGTCATGGAGGTCTATGCTACCTGGTGATCACCAACTTGTTATGGGTCCTGTTGGTGTTATGTGGATTGGGAGATTTGTTCCTGAATGCTAAAGGAGGTTTTTATGGGTGGCATGTCTTTCTCGGACAAAGTTTCTCTAGGCTGTTGCCCAAAAGGAGGTAGTTTTTCTCAAAGGGTTTATCCTCAGTATCTCTCTATCCCTTCTAGCCAGACATATCTCCCACATGAGCCCTGTGCCCAGGCAGTTGCATCTGAAGCTGGACCCATGTGGCCCGTGGTGCTTTCTTGGGCAAACCAGAAATGAATGTCAGGAAGTTCATTCTTTTTAGTGTTTCAAAGAGGAAAGTGGATTGGGCAAGAAAATGGGACCATTCACCTTGTAGATTCCACACACATCTATGTGAGACAGGGCAAGGCAGGGAATAGCTGTGTTTTATGGGAAGACTTACAGCTGTTTTTTCCATCTTCCTGTTTTTTAAGTGTTACTATTATTGGCTGAACACCAAGCTACATTCAGCCAGACATGGAGAGTGAAATTTTTGTAGCTTTTATTTTTTTATATATGGATTAAATTTACAGCTTTAACTATCTGAGCATTTTGAACCAAACCACTTGTCTAGCTTTATGTTGAAACTAGTCCCCAAAGTTAAATAGCCCCCAGAGCTGTCATGTGTTTGTCTCCAACTCTCCTCTGTCAGGAACATTTTCCATTATCTAATGCAGCTGAAGAGTTCCTGTAAATTGTGTATTAAGAGGCTGCTATTATGCAACCTTTTCAAAAATAGAGAAGAAGTCAAAAGCAAGTTGTAAGTTAAAGTTGAAAAAGAAGTTTTATTCATGTACAGAGTACAGAGGAAAAAACTCATAGGAAAATTCATAAAAGTAGGGAACATCCTTGTGTTGGTAGCTGAGAGGGAAGCTCTCTGCCTTGCACAGAAATGCAAATGATCCTAATTGCAAAGGAGTTATAGCCTCCAAATGCAAACATGATGCATTTTTATAGCAATTTGAAAACCTCTGAAGAAGTCTGAGGATTAACAAGACAGCAATCGCAGGAAAAAGAGGTGATGAGCTGGATGTAACTTCTCAGAAGTCAGATATACCCCTATGGCCGATAATTCTGTGTTAAAATAATGCATCATGCTAAGAGAGGACACACTTCAGAGCTCTTGCCTGAAACTAATGCAATTTTGGCACTACTTTTGTTTGGGTTTTTTGCATGAATGATAGTGTTATTTTGCTTCTGTGAAGACAGTCTGCAAATTTGCATCCACATGACCTTCATGTCAGATGCTCAACATACACTGTCTAGTTTTGCAATTTTTATTTTCAGTTTGATTAATCTCTTTCTGCAGTGCTTGAACTTGCCAGTGTTTTATTTCCTTAATGGGTTCAATAGTAACAAGTGAAAACACAGCCAGAGGACTCCACTGCCTTGTGAATGTTTGGACTTTGATCAATGGAGATCTGTGATTGTTTAGTTATGTTTTCTACTGTTAGAGATGACTTGCATCGTTTAAACAGACGTTTCTTTTTTTTTCCAATGAGCACTGCATTCATAGAAAAACAATGGGAAGCAAAGGCTTACAGTGCCAGGGGAAAGGAATTAATTGTGCACTGTATGTGTCCCTTTTGTCACAGGAGAGCACCACCAGGAAGATGCCGAGTTGAGCCATCACCAGTGACAGTAAAGAGCAAGCTCATCCCGTTTGTGCCAAAGGAGAGTGAGTGTCACTGTGGCTGTTTGTTATTGGTGCATGTTAGCTGGCTGTAGACACAAACTCCAGCCTTGCACTATCTCCACATGTGTGGAGACCACCCAGAACTTCACTCTTCAGAGTATCATCAATATTAATTCTCAGCAGCTGTTTTGGGTCTGAAAAGTTGGTTCAAATAAGGGATAAATTGTTTCCCCTCTCCTGGCTGAGTGAAATTTGCTTTGTATTTCTGTCCCTGTGCATTCTCCTTTTCCATGCTACATTATTCCACCCATTTCAATACCACCAATTTGGTTGCCCTGTCACTGTTTCTGTACCTAAACCCTGAGCTCAATGGTGTTTGTTTTTCAGTGACAAGTGATTTCTTGCAGTGGCTTTAGGTAGTGAGGAGCACTTCAGGAGCTGAAGGACATGCTGGCTAAAGGTTTGGAAAGCATCTCATTGAACAAGATGAGGGCTGAGTCATTGTTAGTTTTAAGTGAGAGGTTATGGGATGAGAAAATGTTCCCAGAAGTATCAGTGATCAGCCATTGAGGTGAAATTTTGGCTTACCCAAACCCTCCAGGGCTTTTTTGATTGCTTCAAACCACCTTGAAGTATTTTACTGCTAAAGCTGGAGCAGCCAATGATGTAGCTGCATGTGTAGCAAGCCAAGTGCTATTTATGCTAGGTGTAAAAACCCAGATTTAATATTAGGATCTCAGAATTAGATTAGGTGGCTTCACCAGTTTAGGGATGAATGAAGGCAATCAGCACCTTGCAAAGTTGAGTCTTTAAGGTGGAACAACATCTAAGGCTAATTATTGACTGCTGACATGCCTGAGTACTCAGCATGTCTTCAGAGATGTTCTCATTTGAGAGCTGTGCAGGCAGTTCCAAAACATGAGTAACTTGGTTCATGTTCAACCAGTTCTGTCTTTATTTCTGCTTATGCATTATTCTCTATGCAAGCCCAAAGTTCAGATTTTTGAACTCTATTTTGAACTCTCTATAAATCACTAAATCTCTTGGGTTTGTTTACAAGGTTGTTTTCATCACAAATTAAAACTTAGATATGGTGGGAGACATTCTGCTAAGTGTCTCAAGGACTAAATTCACTCTTTGGTGAAAAGCAAACAGGAACATTTTGATTCTGAAGCATGCAAACAGGGATGTGTAGCTATAAATATTTGACTGTTTTGGTTAGTACTTAGTAATGTAACAGAATCACCAAGGCATGTGGCTTGAATTAGCTGGATGAATGCATCTGTCGGAAGTGTATTTAATGAATAGCTTAACAAAGAGTAATATATAATAACAACTTGATTCAGCGAGGTGAAAAACACTCCCAGGTGACCATTACCTTTCATGCAGTCCTACACAGCATTATATGAGTTGCAGGATTTTTAAGCACTTTGCCAGATCAGGCTCCAGCAACTGAGCTGTGCACAGGTAAGACTTTCAAATAGATTTCTTGCCTTCAGAACCACAGCTTCCAAAGAAGGGAAATATTTTCCATGCCACAAATACAATTCCACTCCAAAGAGCCTTATTTGGAAAAAAAACCCAGACCAAGGGTTTGTTGTTTGGGGACAATAGATACTAAGTTCAAATAAGACAGACATATTTTTTCTCCTCTCTGTATTACAACACAAATGATGAATGAGAATGGATAAATCTAGGATATAATTCAAAAAGACATAAAATCATAGAATCAACCATGTTGGAAAAGACCTCAAAGATCATCGAGTCCAACCCTTTGGAGTTTGTGAATATCTGTGACACTGTCCCAGCTCAGTTGATTCTTATTCCGTGAAATTCTGAATTACTTCCTTCTGACAGAGTAAAACTTCTTTTTTAAGCTCAAATTAAAGCACATGCGAATAAGCAAGTCCAGTAATGCCTGGAAACTGTGACAGCAAAGAATTTTCAGCTCCTCAGAGTTCAAGGCTCTTTTTTGGTTTTTTTTTTTCTCATAAGGAAGAACAAGCCCAACTCCAAATCCTGTTTTATGTGTTGTCCTGGCAACTCTGTTCCTCTTGCACATTCCAGTTGCCAGAGAGAATTGATTTTGAATGTTCCTGATTTCAGCTCCTCTGAATAAAGCATCTGGCCCAGTGGGGAGGCCACGCTCTCCTCTGGTAATGATCCAACCCTTAGTAATGAAGAGAGGAGCAGAAATAGTGTCTTTAAAATGCTTTCAGCAGGGGAAAAGGGTATGCTGGGGAACTCCTCTTCTGACTGTGAAACTCCAGTGCCCACCCTTTAAGGGCCAGGCTGAGATTTTGCCAGTAAACTGCTTGGGGTTTCCTTCTTGGGAGATGTTCATGTGTTGGCGTTCAGCCCTGCAGTCCTCTCTGCTAACTAAAAGAAGCTGACATTTTTCACTGAGGAAATATTGGCTCACTGGGAGTGTTGTCACTACTCAACAGGATCAAGTAGGCAAATTACAAAAAAGGAGTTAAATAATAAGAGGATTGGAGTGCCTTCCCTATGAGGACAGGCTGAGGAAGTTGGAGCTGTTCAGCCTGGAGAAGAGAAGGTTGTGTGGAGACCTCAGTGCACTTTCTAGGATTTGAAGGGGCTCCAGGGAAGCTGCAAAGGGATCTGTGTTAGGAGCTGCAGGGACAGGACAAGGGGCAATGGGTTCAAAACGAAGGAGGGGAAATTTAGGCTAGATAATAGGTAAAAGTTTTGTGCTGTGAGGGTGGTGAGACCCTGTCCCAGGTTGCCCAGGGAGGCTGTGGCTGCCCCAACCCTGGCAGTGTTCACAGCCAGGTTGGATGAGCCTTGAGCAACCTGCTCTGGTGGGAGGTGTCCCTGCCCAGGGCAGGGGGTTGGGACTGGGTGATCTCTAAGGTCCCTTCCAACCCCAAAAATTCTATGATTCTACGAAATAAGTAAAAAATAGTCACTGCTTTCATATTGCTGTCTTCAAGTACTGCGCACAGAGTGACACCTTCATGGTTTCCTGCATTTTTCTCCTAACAGAGTTTATTCTGAAAACACCAACACCACATCCCAGGCTG